TTATTCTAAGTAGCCTCTTTTCTAGGTTTATTAAGAGATTACTATAGTTCTATATTTAGGCTATTATAAGTATTATCCTGCTTATTCTTTTTGTTCTTAATAAACTAAATAGTTATTATCAAAATAGGTAATCTAGTTCTTTTATTTATAAGGAGTTTTTCTTACTATATTAGCTTTTTTAGTATTTTTAAGTATAAGTTAGTTCTAAAGTTATTTAGGTTATTTATAGTTTTTAGCTATATAGTTAAGCTTCTTATAGTTATAGTATTTAAAGTCCTTTAGATTCTAGTAGTTCTAATAAAACTTCCTAGTTATAGTACTAATATCTATAGGTCTACTATATTGCTTATAAGAGGTACTTAGCTTATTATGTTATTAGTTGTTTTACTAGTATAAGTTAAGTTATAAGTTCCTAGGTCTTTACTATATATACTTTTTGCTGGTATTTAGCTAAGGGCAGTATACTTCTCCTTTTTTTTTTTACTATTTATATAACTTAGTATTAATTTTAACTATAATTTCTATATATTATAGGAAGTCATTAGGTTAATTAAGCTTAAATAACTTATCCTTTATATCTTCCTTAAGTCCTTAGTAAAATATAAATATCTTAGTGTTGTTAATATAATTAAGTTATGTGTAGATTCTTTAGAACTTTATAGTATAATTAGTAGTTAACTTAGTTTATTTGAGATTTATTAAGTCTTGTTTAGCTTATTGTTTCTTATTTAGGTCTTAGAACAAGGATTTTAAGGTATACTTAAATCCTATAAAGCTCTTAAAGATTTATTAGGTTTCTAGGTTATAGTATTCTAGTGTCTTATTATTTAAATAGTCTTTTAGGTAAAGTTTAAACCAAGAGAGGACTTGTTTTTTAAAGAAAATACCTATATAAATAATTCTCTTTGTTTCTATATAGAAGTTACTAGAGTAAAACGTTTAGTAGGTCTTGACTTGTATTAAGAATCCTTTAAGTGTTTTAGGGGTCTTGTTGTAGGTAATAAGGGAGTTAAGCTTGAGTTTCTCCTACTTATTTACTGGGGTTAAAATAATGTTAATAGCTCCTTATAAAGTCTAGACTTATTATTTAAGCTTATTAGTCTCTAAAGTCTTTGCTTAAAGAGTACTAGTGGTTTTATTTACTATAGCTTATAGCTATGTAATATTATTATCGTTTTACTTTATATGCTTTTATTAATCCTTATATATTTTTTTAGTAAATTTAATTTTATTATTTAATCTCTTAGTATCCTTTATTTTATTATCTAGGTTCCTAGGGGTAAGAGGTATAGGTGCTTTTCTCTTTAGACCTATTAAGGATAAAGCTAAAGTGCCTTTAGTAGATATAGTTACTATTTAGTAAGTATTAAGGTTAACTTACTAAATAGGAGTAATTAAAGTGTTATAGTTAGATATTTAATAGTAGTGTTTTCTGCTAATAGGTAGCTAAGGTTAATACTTAGTAATAGTAAAGTAAGTCTTATTAGTAATCTTACTGGTCTATTAGTATCTAGTAATTAGTTAAATATGTCTAAGCGTAGATAGCTTTATAGCTTTATAATAGAAGAATAATCTAAGAGTTACTTATAAGAGAGTGAATTATGAAGTTGATTACTAAAGAGCTATAGAAGGTATTTAGTCTAGTTGAAACGATTGTCCTTATATCCTATTATTGCCTTGTTAGGACTAATCTCCTGAAGTTGGTCCTTAATAAGGACTGATCCTTAGTATATTGGTCCTGGGTCATAGACCGCTTATCTGTTGTTAGTCCTTCTTATCTTTACGTAACCTTCCTTAGTTCTTCTGTTCTAAGAGGGGATTAACGTGTTCCTATGCTATCCTGTATATAACCTTGTCTTGTAACTGCTAGGCGCTTATAGGGCGACCCTGGTTATATTATACTTGTTAGGTTGTAATAATAAGGTCTATTTATATCTATTTATTTATAGTAATTAATTATAGTAACTTAACTAATATTTCTCTAAGCTACCTACTAAGCTCTAGTACTAATATAAAACAAAACTAATAATAATTACTTTAAAAATATATATACTAAAAAAGCTTATAAGCGTATTAAAAAAATAATAAAGGAAATAAAAGAGCTTAAAAAAGCTAAAAAGTCCTTTATTACCTAGAAAAATTATAAGCTAACTACTTTTAAGAAGTTCTAGTTATATATTAATAATATAGCTTTAGTTAAGGCTAATATAAAAGCTAAAGTAATTAATAATATTACTACTATAATATAAGTAACCTTTTTTTTATTTATTTTATACTTATTTTTAACCTTAAAAATAAATAAATAAAAAGTAATTATCTAAGAATTATTACTATATAACTTAGTTTTTATTAGGCCTTTTCTAAAAGCTAAGCCCTTATGTAAGTTAATAATAATAATTAAATTATCTAGAATAATAATAATAATAATAACTAAAAAAAAATTCCTTTTTTTAGCCTAGAAAAGTAAATAAAAAAAAAGCTAATTAATCTTAAAAATTACTATAACTTTAAAGTTAATTCTTTTTTTTTTAAAAGCATTAATATTTAATAAGAAATATAAGTACTTATTACTAAATCTAAGAAAATAAATAATTACTATAAAAGATTACTATAAATCACTAATAAAACTAAGATCTTATTTACTAAAAGTACTACTATATAACTAACTACTAGTATATAGCTTTTAACTAGCTTTTTATTAAGGTCTATTACTTAAAGGTTTAACCTTTTATTTACTTTAAAGTTACTTTTAAAGTAGGCTCTCTTTAGCTTAATTAAAGTCTACTAGCTACTATAAATATCTTTATAAAAAAGGAATCTTTTTTTTAGTTAATTTTAACTAAGTATTAAAAGGTCTTTACTTTTAAAAACTATAAGTTCTTAAAAATTATTTCTTATTTTTATTAAAAAAAAAAAAATTTAAAATTTTATAACTAATAAATTTTACTAATTAATTATTTTTTAAGTAATTTACTTTTTAATACTACTTTACTATAAATTAATAAAATAAAAGTTTTTTTTATACTATTTAATATTATTACTTAACTTAAGACTTTAAGTTAACTATTAAGTAGTTAATTAAAGAAATAAACTAATTACTATAACTAATTACTATAAATTACTAATATAAATATAAGTTTAAAGCTTTTTTACTTTATTCTTTTAAAAAGAAATTCTTTTTAATCCTATAAAAATATAAAATAAAGTTACTTTTAACTTAAAGGTAACTATAAGATTTAGTTACTTAATAATAAAGGCTTTTAAGCCTCTATAAGAGGTTTTATTACTTTATTTTTAGCTTTAGTTACTTATTAAGGTATACTTAACTTCTTAAAAAAAGATTTCTAGTATAACTTATAAAACTATATAAGCTTATAACTTTAATTTTATTAAAAAAATAATAAAAGATATTTAAAAAAAGAAAATATAAATTATAGTAATTAATTATAATAATTCTTATTTTTTTTATACTTATTACTATTCTTATATTACTTTAATTATTTTTTTATAAATTTATTTTATACTTTAACTTAAATATTACTTATTAGCTTTTTTATTAACTTTATTTATATTAAGCTGATTTTTTATATTACTATTATACCTTTTATCCTTAATATAATAAAATAAAAAGTTATATAAGCTTATTACTATATAAATAATTTATATTTATATATTTAAGTTATACTTTAAGGCTAAAAAAGTAATTATTTTTTATTTTTATTTTAAGTAACTAAATATTTATTTAATAATTATTTAAAAATAATTATATTAAAAATTATATAACTTTTAAGCTATTTCTAGTAATTTATTTATATTTTTAAAATCTTATAAATAGTAATAAGTTTTTAAATAAAAAATAATAATATTATTTTAAATACTAAACCTTATATTCCTTAAAAAATATTAGCTTTTAAGAACTTTAAACCCTTTAATATTTATAAAATTAATTAAACTAATATTATAAATTAACTTTTTAGTTTTAATAAATATAAATAAAAAGCTATTATTAAAATAAATAATAATAAAAATATTTTAAAAAACTATTTCTTTTTAATTATACTATTTCCTTTAAGTAATAATAAAAATATATATATTAATAAATATACTATTAATTACTTTAATATAACTAATAAAATATTTACTTAGTTTTTTATTACTTTTAATTTCTTTTAAGACTTTAGCTTTTTTATAAAAAATAATATATACTTTATAAAGCTTTATAAAATATAATAAAACTTTATTTTAAACTAAAAATATAATTAATTAATTAATATAAAAAAAATAATAACTTATTAATTAAAATTATTATTATAAAATAAAATAAATAAATAAATAAATACTTTTTATTTAATAAAAAAATTTTAAAATAACTATAAAAATATATTATTTATAAGTTATTTTAATAATACTTAAAATTACTATTTATTAAAATAAAAAAAATATAAAAAATAATAGTTTAAATTAAAAAAAAGCTTTTAATATATTTAATATATAATTATAATATTATTATTATTAATAATTTTTTTTTATTTTTATTTTTATTAATTTAATATTTTATTATAATAATATTAAATATAATTATTATAATAAAATAATTAAATTTTATAATAAATTATTTATAATAATTAATTATAATAATAAATAATAAAAAAATAATTTTTAAAGTATAATAATAACTATAATAATATTAATATAAATTTTAAATATAATAAAAATTTATATAAAAAAATAAAAATTAATTAATAACTTATATTATATAAAGTCTTTTTTTATTAAAATATATAATAAATATATAATAATATAAAGTTCTATAATTTAGAACTATAATTATAATATATTCTCTTATTTTAGGCCTAGTATAATATAATTTAAATTTAAAAAATACTTATAGCTAATATTATTATATATTTGAAATTCTTATTGCATATTTCAGTTCTTACCGCAGTCATCGATCACGCCCTAAGATTTGAATCTATGAACTAAAGGCTGAAGGCTCACATTTACAGTCTCGGCCTGATGAATTGATCTTCAACCTCTGCCTCGGCCCTCTTTTTGGAGTTTTCCCAAGATTTAGTCTTTGCTGAGCCCATCGAAGCCCAGATGTCCAATAGGCCGTCATCAAACGGCGGCAGTACGCGACCAGTCGTACCTGGGGCTGGATCTCCCGCAATTGACCGGAAGTACTCAAACACCTCCTTATAGAAGGGCGCAATGGTGTAGTATTCCTTTCCTCCTCCAAACTCCGCCACGCGCTTCCTTTCCCACTCTTTTTGTTCCTTCTTGGATGGCAATGGGTTACCCCTACCAGCAAGGCGACGGGCAACTGCGACAGCCTGCCATTCAAAAAGTCGAAACGTGAAGCCTCCCCCGCACTGTGCAGAATCTATCAGCATCACTTCCCAATTTGTTCAAACGAGTTTCTTTCACTCACCATGCCCAAAAAGGCGAGTGTAGGATCCTCAATGTCCCACGTGTGGTAATAGACACCTGGCAAACGACGGTCGGCTTGCAAAACACGCTTCTGAACCTGCGGAAGGAAAGGGAAGCTGAAGGTGTAACCAGTCCCTAAGATGACGTGGTCCACATCTCGAACAACCGTGCCATCAGCGAACGTGATGGCGCCTGATTTGGGACAGAAGTTGACGATTTGCTTCCGGATAGATATGTGCGGGTGCGTAAATGGCGCCCAGCCAAAGTGTGGAATAGGGTCCCCACGAAGTGAGGCGTAAACCGGATGCTGAGCAATGGGAAGGACCTCGTGCAGGAGCTCGTGAGATGAAACTGAGCCGCCAACTACAATGACTCTCTGTTGAAGTGTGTCAGTGTTTTCCAGGCCATGTGTGAATCGATTTTTATACCTTGCCCTTATACTTATCTGATCCGCGGAAGTGCTTACTATGCACAATTCGTCCCGGGAACCTTTGGTCATACTCTACAATTCCTTCGATGTTGGGGATCCAAGGAATGTTGTAATGACCAGTAGCCACAATGAGCGCGTCGAATGTCTCTTGCCACCATTGGTTTTTGCCAGGGAGTTCCTTTCTTAGAGTGAGCACCCATTCTTCGCCCTTCTTTTCGGCGAGCTCCACGGTTGTGTTGAGCTCAAGCAACTTCTCATGACCGTTCCGGACAAAGATGTTCTCAACCCACTCCCGAATTTGCTCCCGACCACGAAACGGAGCGTCATCGCCGTACTTCTCCCGGATACGGTCTGTTAGAGTGTCTGGGAACGGTTCCGTTGTGTAGCTCATGATCTCCGGTGTGATATTAGTGTGCAGGTGTTCATGCTGAGCGGTGTCTGAGAATCGGATCTGATGGTTGTTGATGGCTTCTGACTTGGGGGTGAATGCTGGGAGCTGAGTAGGGATGGGTACAGGAGCATCCGCCTTCCCGTCGAGCACAGCTCGCAGGGACGGTATAGCGGCTGGCAAGTGCGGCGTATAGATCCTATAGCAATGTCAAAAGGAAGAGTCTATATCCAGTATACCATTATCCAAGCTTACCATGTTCCGCCTGGCTCGGCTCGCCGATCAAAAACTCGGACCGTATCAAAAAATTGTTCCTTGACTAGTGCATCAGTTGCGATTGCACCTGAAGGGCCGGCGCCGATAACGGCTACTCTGCGGATCTTGGCTATCATCTGTAAAAATTGTCCTTCTAGATAGGTAACTTCCAGTTATTGAAGCTGGGGCGTTCACGCGGACTCAATATCTCGGCTTGGTGGCGTATAAGCCTGGATGCTTCCAACCTAGAAGTTGCTGGAGCGTTTTCAAAACTCGAACTCGATGATCGGTCTTTTCCAGCTAGTTTGAGGGGAAAATCAGCCATCTTGGAGCGAATTTATTCAGTTCTTCAGCTGGGTGCATGATTGCGCCACAACGGATGCCATTGCGTCTTCCTCAAACGCAAGCACGCAAGCCGAGCGGTTGTGGGTCAAATCCTGTAAGTTCACCACGCCAGAAGCGAATCGCTATCAGTTGGTTGCAGGAATGCATCGGAGGTACATCGGCTGCAGGCTAAAGACTTCCATTCACGGCGGCGAACCTCCACCATCCGGCCAGGGTTTCTCGGCGGTTCGACCGCATCGCGTCCATCGGCACCGATGTCGCCATTCTCTAGTGGACTTCCGGAGGCCCCAAATTGGGATGGCGTACACAGTCGCAGTTGGTGATGAAGGTTGAAAATGGTTCTCTTTCGGTCATCTATCAAGCCTCGAGTTTTGCAAACCTGTGTGATAATAATTTTATTCCGGCTGGGGAGTCGCGCTCTATTCTTGTGACTGAATTTTCATCGATGAAGAGAAGAACGTGCTGGCCCATATCTGGTTCAACGAAATACACAAGCAAGGAATGTGAAGAAACAATAAAAGCCTGCCTCAGTTCTCGAGTACGGCTACTTCCATCGTCTCCCGCAAAGGGTTTCAAGCTCACATTGTTTTTGGAACTTATTTCCCTACTCCAAAAGCCGCGACAAACATGGCTGGGCAATAATGACCTGCTTGGAACCAGTCACTTTCCTTTGTCACCGCCATGAGTGCGTTTGTCATGCTTCCATCCTCAAGTTCTCACCATCATCCAGCATTTTAGACAACAGCGGGACTTGGTGAGCTCTCCGTCTCAGTTGAAAAGCGTTTCTGTGGCAATGCAATTGAAAGCCTTGAACTGGCTGATGCGCCTTACGTCAGAACCCTGATCGACGCCAATGAATTTGGCCAAATCGCTGTCAGCAAGGCCAAAGTTGGCTTTTTACTGAGCCATTGAAGGGCCATTTCGAATACTATAGCGGTCGTGTAGTTATCGACTTGGTCAAAGGAAATGGACGGACGAATCAATGTCATATTCTCTTGGCACCGGCAGCCGCCGTCATGGTGTTAAATGTGACATGTTGCTTGTTGGATGTAGAACTTTTGAAATTAGAGGCTCATAATGGATGTGTGACATAGTCTCCTTAGTGCGGTGCACACCCGCTGAGATGACCAACAACATCGGCACTCATGTATTCTTTGTGGCAAGGCATTGCAAAGGGAAGTCCTAAGTCTGATATGTCGCCAATGAGGCAACCAAAGAGTATGGATGGCGCATTAGGAGTTACTATTTTGTAGTTTCTAGACTAGTTTACCTTTCTCTAGCAGGATTATGTACCACTGGTTTCCTGGTTCAGGATCGATGTCGGAATAATTAAGAAAACAATAAAGCAATGATAGCAAATAGAAACTATAACAATAGTTACACCTACGAGTCACCGCCCAAATAGCAAAGCTCTCTCCAATAAGGTACGCATTGTTAACCCTTGCTGCCCCCACTGCACTATGGATGGAAACTATAGTAGCTTGTAGTTACTGGAATTGGTCTTGAAATGGCCTCGTTGTCCCTATGCCAATTTCTCCCAAAATGACACGGCTGAACTACTGATAGACTGTTCAAATCATCCAGGCGGCGATCAGAACGGCACCCAAAGCAACAGCCCACGTATTTTTAGATTTGGTAAGTTGATAGAAAATTTGAAGATTCATGCCCTACACTACATAACAATGATCCGTCCTCATATCCTTATCCATGATAATAGACCCCGGGCATTTAGCAGTGCACAACAATAGTGACTCAGCAGAAAGCCAGATCGTAGGGCGCAGCCATGAGAACTGTCCAGCATGCACACTGGCCAGCTTATGCCGCGATTGGACCAACCGGCGCGGCCTAACCTGCATGGCCACAGCCTCGTCAACCCCTCATCTATTTGTTTCCTGTTTGACTAAAAACACAAGTAGATAGGTTACCGCCTGATCCCTTAAACTTCGCTCGCCTTCGTAATCCTAAGCTTTTGGACGCCATGAGATTCTCCCAAGTCTTTAAACGCTTAAAGGGCTCTTCACGTCATGCGGGCAACGAGACGGAGAACTCCTACGCCAGGGACGACCGAACCGCGCAGACACTCGTTCCGCCTGACGATACTAGGCCCTCTGTAGCCGGTGCAGTCCGAAACCCGTCATCTCGTGCCGATCAGCGAGAACATCGGGAGGAACCGAGAGTGATGCTTCAGAGTCCTTTAAGATCAAGCCTCCCAGAAGACCTGCTAGGAGCCCGGAGAGGAAGGTCAACGTGACCGAGGGCGGCTGGATTTAGGGAGAGGAGGCAAGCACTTGTACCCGCCGCCCGTCCCGGGCCCTCGGTCCGGCCTAAGAGGCAGCCAGGCGGCACTCGGTATGAGTGAGCGATTTTAGAGGTTTGTTAAATCATCTCATCATCAACATCCTCAGCCTTCCTGGCTGTTTAGGCATAACACACCAGCTACATAGTGAGACTCCTAAACCAATGCACGTCAGTGCTAAACTGTGGACTCCGCAACGTAATAGAAGCTGAATGAGGCAGGTGGATGGTTTCCGGCTTGCAACTGACGGTGACACCTGAGTGCGAACAAGCCCATGAGCCGAAGTAAAGCAATGCCGGTGCCCATCATATGGATCTCTGGATTGTGGGGCTTTAGTACCACGATGGAACGGGCCGCCGCGCCCCAACCCCGGCCGCGGCAGCTCCGCCCCCCCAGAGTTTGATAACGAGGAACGCAGCGGGATCCACGGCTACAAGCACCACGGCACTTTGTGAGAACCCCAGGCGGGTATTTGTGATCCTTCTGTTCGGGCTCGATGGCTTCATCCATGACTTCAGCTGCGTTTTGGCTGCGGCGCGGGCCTCGCTCAGGATCCGAGCCTAGTATCGTCGGGCAAGAAATGACTTGGGCGCGGAAAAGTGAGCTGGATGAATGTGCGAGAAGTGAACAGGGAGTCAAAAGGGACAATAATCTCCGACGCTCCAGAAACCGAACAACACGATTGCAACATCAGCGGTAACTATCAAAACATCCGGAGCACCGCCTGCCTACCTCACTTACACCATTAATCAAGCCTCGTCGTCAGAACGCTCTTCTCCAAGACCCTCCTCCTCGTCGCAGTGGTCACGGCCCCCTCGGTCATGGCCAGCTGCAATGACGCCCCCTATCCTGGAACCTGCTTGTCCTGCACCGCGACCTGCCACGGTAGTGAGTATCAATCTCCTACTTCCTTCCTTTATATCTCTCTCGGAAGGGCTGAAGCTCTAGCATGACTGTGTACGTCTAGACTTTGGGAGCCCTGGCCGCACGGCGTTGATACAGCGGATGAGCTGCCAGTTTGCCTGCCTCGCTTTTTGCGACGACTGCAACTATTACTCGAATCTACGCTGCGCTCTTGGTTTCCGAAGTTGAGGCCTTGTAAACGCCGAAGATGTCTTGAGTACCAGAACGCCAGTGATTGGATAGAAGGCATAGTACATAAGTTTCGAGCAGTTTCAAGCTCTCTCGAGTGGTTCCATCATTTGCCTCGATTCAGACTTGTCGTCCTGCGGTTGCTGCGCGGTTGTGGCTTGTTTGCTGTCCTCTTAACCATGGTATTTACGGCTTGTATTTGACTGGCAAGCCGAGGTGCATCTGACAACAATACTATCTTTATGCCAAGCAACTCACACCTCTGAGAATGTCGAGTTGCCAAGAATAGATGTAAGCGCTGTGGGGCATACTGACCTATTGCTATTTAACCGTAAGCAGCTGCAGCGCTAAATTATATGACAATTAAAGCCTGCATCGTTAAAGCCCGCATGGTTACATGGCCAAGAAAACAACCTTGACTGCGCACTCTTGCCCGCGTCAATCTCCCCACAAACAACACTTCCACGTCTCACTTGTTGATCCGGTTCGCCATCCTTTTCACTTGCAACAGGACTACTGAATGCCTGTCGTCATGGTGGTCTCGGACGCATTTTCTTACGACCGCGATGAGATTGCGCAGAGCTTGGCGGCATATTATTCTGTCCTCGCCAGAGCTTGCTATTTTTCTCCTGAAGACATCCAGTCGCCGCCGACTGAAGGCTGGAGCGATCTAGAGCTGGACGTTGACGCGCTTCGAGCCCTGCGCCGCTCCGACAAAGTAATCGACCTTTTGCGCCACATCCCGTACATCAAGGCCTGCAAAAGTGGCGATAAACCCGTGCAATGGCCGATACTTGTCCGTTCAAGGGCCATTCGATACTTGCGCGACGATGGCGACTTCTCGGACTGGTCTGCCCGTGGCGGTGACCGCCTCGCCGAGTTGGCAAACGCTCCGTTCGACCAAACCCCGGCAGGGCCCATGGATCTGCCCTCTGATGTCGTGGCTCTCAGTCGCGGATACGGTTCTAGTGATTTCGGCTCGCCGTGGTGTATCATCGACTGTGAGACTGGTATCTTGACGCCGTACACCTCCGGCACGGGACCAACGGACAAGCCGTGGCAGACTTCACAGTGCAGCGCTAGGGTGTTTTTCGACGAAATGACCTCTTTTCTGAGAAGCAAGACCATCATCGCTCTTCCTCCAGTCGGGGATCTTGAGCCCGAGATTATGGGTTCCGAGAGCGATCAGAAAGTTGACGTCAGACAGATGTTTCAATGGATCTATCAGGCGCGCGGATGGGCAACATTCGAGGAGGACCCTTCGTCTTGGCGCCGCGAGGAATGCATCGAGGTGCTTAAACGGTTTCGTATCGAGCTATGGGAAGCAGAGAAAAAGAGGCTGGCGCACGAGGCCGACTTTGACGACCCGGAAGACGAGGATTTCGAGGATCCTGACTCCAATGCCGGGAGCGAAGCGAGTCAGTCCGAGACCGCAACTGAAGATGTAGATACAGCACTGGAAGATGAAGACATCTTGGTGGATGTTTCAAAGGAGGAACTTGCCGAGGTCTGGGCAGATCTCGACGAGACCGAGTACATGATGATTGACGAAGAGTTGAAGGGGGAAGGCATCCAACATGCTTTTCACCCATCGAAACCGCCGCAACGTCTGGCCAGAGCCCCGTTATCCGAGGATAATGGACCCGGGGCTTCCCAAGTGCTTGATCAAACGCGCTGCAACGACAGCATCGAGATGATGGCCGGCGCCATCAAGAGTCACTACCTCACCCTATCTCGCGCGGCCTACTTTCCGCCGTCTATGGTAGAGACCGCGCCTGACAGCGGCTGGAGCGACGATGTCTTCCCTGCGGAGGAGTTGGAGATGCTTGGGTACTCGGACAAGGCAGTCAGTTTACTCCGGCATCTTCCGTATCTAGGCTTCGACGAGCACTTCTGGGAGGTGCTCCCCGGCAGCCAGCCGATTCGGTATCTGCGTGACGCTGAACAATTCGAGGATGTACCCAGGGACAAGCTGAGACGAGACTCTCTGCAAAAGCTCGGACTTTCGCCGTATGATGAGGCCATGCCAACGGATGTAGTGGCGCTCTCGTCTCCAAACCAGGACAGCTGGCGAGGAACTTGGTGGATGATTGATGCTGGCAGAGGTCAGTTGCTGTGTCCTCTTCAATCCAAAAGGTTCATGAGGATTGACTCGCTCACACTTGGCTTAAACTAGGGGTCATCTTCTGCGAAAGCGGGCCGAGAACCCAGGTGGAAGCTCCTGCAAATTCTTACGAGCCTGAGTCCATCGTGACGTATTTTGAGAAGTTGGTCTCAAAGCTCAGGGGACTCGAGATAGTTCCCATCCCAGGTCTGGGCCCAGATGAGAATCAAGATCCAGTCATTTGGGCCGAACCCAACTGGGAACGCGGGGCAGATGCTTTGGCAGAGATGTCGGAAGCAGACAGGCGGATCGTCCTACCAGCCAAGTCTGGTGTAGGTCTTGAGGTCAGTTGCGTACCTCTTCTCTTGAACTATTTGGTACGAGTGAACGCTGACAAATAGGCGTGAATTGTTTAGGGCGCTCGCAAGGTCTACCGTGACTATGGATGGCCCGATGAAAATAGCTTTCGGCGGTTGGAATGCCGAGAGGCGCTGGTCCGGCTGCGACAGACGACTATCTATGGCGAAGGGTTTGCAGACGATTCGGTAGACGAGGATACCGATGTGGTGATGGACGCTGCTTGACGGCAGAGGGAGAGTGATATCCACGTTGTACATGCACCTTGCGAAGGGAACAAGTTTTGAGCGCTATTGGCTTTCCGTTCTTCTTCAATACACTACAGATTGGATTCAATAGTACATGCTCTGAAACTACTCGTCTATGCTACGCTCACACAGTAGAAATAACCTGGCCAGATCATGGTGCCGCAATTCTCCCCGTTGGTGCCAAGCGAGGGGTTGAGCTGGTAGAACCGGCTCAGCTCGATGCCGTTATCGGTCGCCAACTGCCAACAAGACGCGCCTTGTGCGGGCGCCTCGGCAAACTTGCTGCAGTTTGCCGGGATGCCTGCGTGAGTGGCAGTCGGCTTTGCGGGACCGGCGGACGTCGTCGTAGGAGGCGACGAGGTGGTGGCGCTGCCAGAAGAGACGCCAATGCAGTAGTAGTAGTCCGGCCATATCATGGTGCCGCAATTCTCGCCTCCGGATCCGAGGACGGTGTTCCACTGGTAGAACAGGGCCGTGTCGATGCCGGCGTCGTTGGCCAGTTTCCAACAGTAGTCGCCGGCCACGGCCTGCACCCACTTGTTGCAGTTGCCCACGATGCCTTCCTGAGTCGGAGACGGCTTTGGAGCGCTCGTAGAAGACGCTGTTGGGGAGATTGTGGGCGACGTCGTCCTTGTCACCGTCGTGGTCGGCGAGCCCAGGCTCTCGGTGCCAACGCAGTAGTAGTAGTTGAGCCAGAGCATGGTGTCGCAGTTCTCCCCGTTGGTGCCCAAAACCGGGTTCAGCTCGAATAGTCTCTTCTGGGTAATGCCGCCATCGTTTGATACTTTCCAGCACGAAGCGCCCTTGTCCGCAAACACGTAGCGCTTGCAGACCGAGGAGATGCCTTCTTGGACCGGCTCCGGTGGCGTATCGGGGTTGTCAATGATGGGAAGGGTGGGTGTGGTACCAGGACCGCCGCGCACAGGACCATCGCTGTCGTCTGGGATCTCGCTGGTAGGCGGGCCCGTCCAGGAGCCACCTGGGCGACTGGAGGAGGAGGCGGTCAGCTTCGAGTATACTCGGCTTGGGCAGTACTCTATCTGGGGGTTGCTTACTCTATGCAGACGTACTGATCTTTGACCAGATGATCACAAGCACCGAGAATATGCGGGTTCCAGGTGGCTATCTGAACCGCGTTGACGATGTGGGTTGTGTTGGATGCGGATTCCGCAATCGATGCGCTGATGGTTATGTTAGCTTATGATCCTTGGGTTTGACTATTACGCAAACGTCATACCAGGTAGAGCTCTCGCTGACTCGGAGCAACTGACAAGACGGGGAGACGCAAGACCAGCCATCTAAAACAGCGCACCCGGGGGTGTTTGTCGTATACATCAAATCGCCCGTCGCGACGCCATAGATTTCGGCAATCTCGTTGCAGAACTCAAGCTCCGTCTCCGCAATTGTGGATTCTTCCATGACGAGGACGTCAACCCATTGCCAGCCCACAGCTTCGCAGCCCTTTTCTGTGTCCGGCACCGGGGCCTTGGTCGGGACGGGCTCCGAGGTGGTTGTCGGCGCCGGGGCGTCCGTCTCGGTAGACGTGACCTCTGTCCTGATGGGAGTGACGTCCGCGTCCGTCGTATGGGGGTAGTTGGGCAGCACCCTAGTGGCCAGCTCGCCGACGGTGGTCTGGCAGACCTCCTGGATGTCTTGGAACTCCCCGACCAGGTAGTCCGAGTAGTCGACGTCGGGGAGGAACGCGGACGTGACGCGGGCGTACAAGAGCTTGAGGAAGCACTCGGAGCACAGCAGGTCGTTGTCGTATAGGGACGATATACGGCGGTTCTCGGCGCTCACGTTCCCTGGGTTCGTGCAAAACGGATCGGCCGGGTTCGCGGCGCAGTCTGGTGTGACCATGTCGGACCCCGTCCACTCCTGCTGCTCGATGAAGCACCATTCGTTGGATGCCGAGCGAGTGCAGGCGAGTTCGAGACCCTCGAGGAAACGACCAGAAAGAGTGTCCGCCTCGACAAGACGATCACCTTGGATCATCAGGTCGTAGGCACAGCTGCTTTCAACACTGGCGTGCCAATCGCGTGCCGAGGTGAGGCAGCCGGTTTCGCACAGTGTCGTGACATCTTGCTCTTGCCACCAGAGCCCGTCAACGTTGATGGTTCGCTGGAAGAGGTCTTGGTCGCAGGCAACGGTAGAATTTCTTTCGCTATCAGTCAGTCAAGGTCCTCATGGTCTACTCAAACGTCCGTCCTTCTCTCTTTCGGCCTGGGTACACTTACAATGCCACAACACAAGCAGGTGCAATCTGTAGGATCTCTGCCAATGCTTCCGTTTCAACCAAGGGCCAGAGATTGAAGCTAAAAGCTAGGGGCAAGAATGCCAGAGCCGTCAAAGACTTGATGTGAGGCGACATTTTCTCGACTGCAGCGCGCTGAGCAAGTCGCCGAAGGGTTGGTGAATCAGACCTGGCAGAGCAACGGTCGATATACAACGACCCGGGCAGGGCGACTTTCTCTCAAGCTTTGAACGTCCCTGAAAGGCTGGAGCCTTACGGGAAAACAATAGTTTGTCTCGACAAGGGTTGCCAAACCGAAATGAGGGCATGCAACCGACACCGATTCCCGCCTTCCTAGGCCTAGACGGCGTGATGGAGGTTGCAGATATCACGCGACCCTAAACGTCCACATGCCCCATGTAACAGTCGTTCTTCATTTATTTTTGGGAAGCTTCACTCTGCAATGTTACTCTGTAAAGTTCTAAGCTTAGTTTCTTTTTGACTTGGACCGGAACAAGTCTCTTTCGGGGCAGTAGTTGACAGACTGCGAGAGCTGATGAGATTACCGCCAAGCCGGCGTCAGCAGCCTAATTGGCCTTCGAGCGGTCGTTACCGCAGGGTTTTCTCATTTACCCCTGCATGAGTCAATTTTCTCTCTTTCCGCGATTGCAGCAGTAGTCTGGCCGCCCAGCCTAATGAGGCAAATACTTCTACACGGGAACGGCTCTCACCAAACGGGCCAAGACCACGGGGCGTCTGCGTCGTACACACACTTTGTTGCGCCACGCGGGAATACATTGAGGCACAGCGGCTCCGAAATTGACGAGAACTTGAGAGGATTAGGAAGGAGGTAGACTTCTCATACCTAGCTTGGCTACGCGGATAAGGCTGTCCACGAATAGACGAGATGGCTTGTAAGACATGCCTCTAAATGAGGACTTTGCGAGGGTCACCATTCCCCCTAGTCCGTCCGTCCTGTTGACCCTTCATCAGGCATCCACGTTGCATTGCATTGAATGAACCACTTGGCCTGGTCAAAAGGTCACGGGAGAATCGGGCGAAATCTTACGCCAAGACGGTCGAGGTGGTCTAAGAGACTGAGCGAGGATGCGAATGTAATTTGACATTATCCGCTTGGCGCAGGTCGGTGGTGTTCGGACGGGATTTCGGGAAGCCCACGAAGCTTCTCTTGTTTGGAAATGATATGAAGGCGTTGGAGACGCCGGCCTTTCCAGACTTTTCAAAAGTTCGCATCAGATCTGACCATCTGCCTCGTCTGCTTTCGAGTGGCACGCCGCAACTATTTGCATACTTGTCCCAGCAACCTCTGGCCCTCCCTTCTTGTTAAAATGTATTCCCACTCAAGGCTGTCCGCTCTCTTGGGGCTCTTCTATCTCATTTCTCCGCTGTTAGCTGCGGAGAACTCTTCATACTTTAATCTGAATTCTGCTTTCGGTCTACTTGGCTCTGATCTGCCTGCCCAGCTCCTCGACCTTCCTGTCGGTACCTGCAATGCCGAGACTCCTTGTGTCAATGGCGCTTGTTGCAGTGGTGTAAGTACCGTCCGGATCCCAATCCAACGGGGCGCATTTTCTGTTGCTGTGGGGAAGACATCTGACTTTGGATTCTCTCTGACATGTGTCTTGTAGATTACTGGCCTTTGCGGTTATTCTCCTGCAGAATGTGGTGCTGGCAATTGCACCTCCAACTGCAATGCCAAAGCCGAATGCGGCCAATATGGGGTCCCCGGAAGGCAGACCTGTCCGTTGGGTGTCTGTTGCTCGCAGTTTGGGTATGTATATCTTCTGGGTGCGTAGGCGTGGCTAACTCTTTGCAAAGCTTCTGCGGCTCGGTCGATGACTTTTGCAACGTCGACAAGGGGTGCCAGAGTGATTTCGGAGGCTGCGGCCCAGTAAAGCGGCCTTCGTGCAGCAAGACTGGAAACAGCGTCCAAGGTCGGTCAATCGGCTACTATGAGTCCTGGGCCAACACTCGTCCCTGCGGCAAGGTGTCCCCTGAGGACTTGAACCTAGACGGACTGACACATATCAACTTTGCTTTCGTCTTCTTCGACCCTGTCAAGTTCAGTATCGTCCCCATGGATAAGAACGCTGGATCACTCCTGAGTCGGTTTACTGCGCTCAAGGAGAGGAAGCCCGGCCTTCAAACCTGGGTCAGTGTCGGCGGGTGGTCGTTCAACGACCGTGAGTTTGATTGTTCCATTGGCGATGACTTGAAGGTGTGCTTATCCGTTCTTTACCAGCCGGCCCCTATCAACAAGCCTTTAGTACAATGTCGAGCACCGCCGAGAATCGCGGGATCTTCATTGCCGAGCTGATGTATTTTATGGAGGTAAATGACTCCCTTCTGAGTGTCTCTTTCTCTCGAATACTGACAAAGGCGCCAGACATATGGATTCGACGGCATGGATCTAGATTGGGAGTACCCCACCGCTGGTAGGCAGATTCCTTATTTACATACCTTTCCCAGACATCTTCCTGTCAACTGGTCACTCATTCATGTTGATAAAAACTTTGGTTGCTTCCGTACTTCAGTTTTGCTAATATTTGTCGCAGACGACCGTGGCGGAAAAGCCGAGGACAAAGCCAACTTTGTTCTTCTTTCCAAGGAAATCAAGGAAGCCTTCGGCAAGCGATACGGCTACTCCATCACGCTTCCAGCATCTTACTGGTATCTTCAACATTTCGATCTGAAGAATCTCCAGCCACATGTCGACTGGTTTAACTTGATGTCTTATGACCTGCACGGAACATGGGACGCTGCTTCAAAGTTCGTCGGCCCATACGTCGCCACGCACACCAACATCACAGAAATCGATCTCGGTCTTGATCTCTTATGGCGCGCTGGGGTCAAGCCTAAGAATGTTGTCTTGGGCCAAGGATGTGCGTTTCCCTGCTTGTGCTCATGTTATTTGATGGCATGGCTCTGATTATAGGCTAATTCTGTGCACTGTAGTCTACGGTCGTTCTTTTACCCTTGAAGATTCCAAGTGCAATAAGCCCAATGGAGTCTGTCGATTCAGTGGTGGCGCAAAAGAGGGCCCTTGTTCCAAAGCCTCGGGTATCCTGAATCTCCAGGAGATCATGGATATCATCAAGGACAAGAAGCTCGAGCCCGTCCATGACGAGAAGTCAGGCACCAAGTGGATTCACTGGGACAATGACCAATGGGTTTCGTACGATGACGGCGAGACATTGGGTCAGAAGGCCGAGTTCGCCAACTCGCGATGTCTGGGTGGCCTCATGGTCTGGGCCCTGGACCAAGTCGCCCAGGATGCCGCCAGTCTCTTGAACCCTGACGACATGGATGAAGAGGCTCTGCTCGAGGCTGAAGTCATCTACCAGGATGAAGCGGCCAAGGGCGTCTGTTACACTACCAAATGCGGCGAGAAGTGCCGAAACGGTGACCACGCGGCCACCCAGACCAACGGTCAACCTGGGACGTTGTCGACCATGGACCGCTGTCCCAAAGACGAGTTCCGGAGCGTCTGCTGCAGCAAGGGCTCCATCATGGGCACCTGCCGGTGGAGAGGATACCGTGGGCTGGCGATGTCTTGCATGGGCGGCTGTGCGGAGGGGGAGGTGTCTATCACAGAAAACAGCAACAGCCGGACGGACAAGGAGGATCAGAGCTGCACGGGCGGCACGCAGACCTACTGCTGCAACGGGTTCAAGCCTCCAATCTCCAAGGAGCAAATCACTGAGACCATCAAAGACGAGGCAACCGACGCAGCGATTGCGGCAGCGGAAGCGTTGGCGCTGGAGGTTGCGGCGAAAGCTTTCTGCCGCATCGCCATCATGGCAGCGACTGCGCCACTGCGGTTCATCCCTTTTGTTGGCAAGTCAAGCTCAAGTAACATCTCTTTGTAACCCGCCGCTAACTTAGCGCCCAGGAATCATCATCTCAATCGCTCTCCAAGCAGCTATGCCGGCCTTAGTTGCCGTCTGCTCCAAAGGTGTCGCCAAGGCGGGCAAGTCCGTTTTCAAGTTCCAGGGCAAAGATTACGACGTCAAACTCGACAAGCCGTTGGAGACCAAGGTCGATCGAGGCCCGTCCAAGCCCACGAGCAAAGCACCAGATAAGCCCGCAAGCTGTAAGGGCAAGCGACTCGAGGCTCGCGTCAACCTCCGCAACAAGGACATCACACGCGTCATCACTCAGGGACCTGCGAGACAGGAAATTGTGCGGAGGACCTGCTACGGAGACACCCACGGCCAGGCCTGCTACCATTACAAGTCCGTCATCGATCGCGACAATAAGCTCAGCAGGCTCACGTGCCCGGGCCAAAAGATTGGGGAGGCGTTGCGTCCGGTCGTCGGCTCCTACAACAAGCAGCACAACACAGACTGGAGCAGCGGCTGGCTACAGCAGGACAATCTCGTTTGCCAACGCGACGAGTACCCTCCCGCCGACATCTGGCGCAGCCGCGACGACAAGGCGGTGTGGATCCGACTGCTGCCCCAGGCCAGCAACGGAGGCGCGGGACAGCTGTTCGGCGGGTGCCCGGAGAAGCAGGCCGAGGAGCTCATCCACGAGGGCTTCCACACCACGGAGAACGTCGGGTGCCGCGTCGTCACCATCACCACGCGCCGCGTCCGGGCCGTGGAGAAGGTCATTGAGCTCAACTTTGAGCGCATGGGCGGTATGCCGGCCGACTACGGCATCGAGGAGAACCCGTGCTGGCCCAAGACACTCAACAACAACGACCCCGGCTTCGCGCTGCTCAACAACGACGACTGGTACAAGGGCGCGGGCCGCGCGCAGCAGCGCGGGTACCGGCAGTACTACTCCAAGGCGCCGACGGACATGTTCACCCTGGACGCGAACGGGGTGGCGAAGGTGAACATCCACAAACGCGGGTGGACGCCACCCCGGAAGCGCAAGGCGGACGAGGTCAAGAGGCGGGAGGTGGACCCGCTGGACATTGTCGTCAGCGAGGGCAACACCACGCGCCAGCCGACGGAGGAGGAGCTGCTGGAGGACTTTGGGCTGGTCCGGTGCAGGGACGGGTCCTGCGAGAAGGAGATGCACGACCTCGGGTACGCGTCTCTGCCGGTGTCGGGCATGAAGCCGACGTCGCCGCCGGAGACGGAGGCGTCAACGACGATGGCGGTGGCCCTGCCGACGTCCCTGTCTGGGGTGCTGGCGACGGCGGCCGACGTTGCGAAGGCGGCTGCTGCGGTCATCACCGCGGCCCCGGAGTAGGATGCGGAGTGGGTGTGAGACGGATCAGAGGTCGCATGTTGCTAGTTCTAATGGCAATTTTCCTCTGCGCTGGCAAGTGAAATAGGCAGAGCATATCTGTTCCAACTTCGGTCCTATGATTTGTGAAAAGCTGCGTCGTCTCCACCCACTCCATGTGTTGCTGTGAAGCGGCTTACGGGCCAGTCTCACACATTTGTGTGAGCTTTATGTGAGATGAAAGGTGAAGCGTTGAGACGAGGATGTATTCGCCGTATGCCAGATGTACGAATCATGGCCCGTAGCCGAAAACGCATCAAACCTGCCATGGATGACTGTAATTCTAGGGAAATGTTCGAGACAACAGATGCAGAGTAGCGGTCCCGGTGTCTTGGGGGGTGATGTGTCAATTGTATCGTTTATCTTACGGATGATGGAGGGTATTTCCTTGATCTTTGATCTCCTGGACCATTGATTCCATGCTGTTTAGTAGTAAGGACGGACTTGGTGATGCGCAGCGAGGTGGCTGCGGGGGATACAAGTTCCACTATTGGGAGAAACGATGGAGAATGGGTTCATGACAGAACCATGCGCGCTGTTGACTTGGTAGAAATACAGGGAGAGAGGGACACGAATGCTCCTGTCAACCTTGAAGTCTATGCATACACTCCGCAGGAAGGGAGTGCCAGGCAGATAATGATATCCAAGAGTTCAATAATGCACGGGAGCCAGCTATTAATAATCAGACTAGACCATCGAGGAGTACTTATTGTTGAAGACGCTGATTTAGTATTTCTGGACCAGATTTCAGGTATCGAAACTTTCTCACCAACTGACTGTTATGCTACCAGTGTTTCATTTCCAATGATATTGGTATTTATCTGGTTGACAACGATCTACTGACCAACCACGGGAAGACCTGTACGCAACCCACTGATTTCTTACTCATCCCGAGTCCATCATGGAGTCAATGACGTAAGAATTTCGACCCCGCCAAAATGTAACACTCAGTTCAAGGGTATCAAAATCACTCGGGATAAAGCCATATCATCTAAACTAGATTCATTCTACGACAGTTGGTGATCCAATCACATATCATCAACTCCACCTCAGTGACTATCAATCAACATCGACACACCCACAGCATGGACCCGGCACAATTACCTCCGTGGGACCTCCCTGAGGGCGTCACATCGCGTTACGTTGACACGTCTCCCATAGGGTTGAAATTTCACATCATCGAGTCTGTACCAGACATCATAGCTCCTGATCACCGTCCGCCACTGGTCCTCCTCCTCCATGGCTTCCCGAATCTATCTTACGACTGGCGCTTCGTGATGCCAAAACTCGCCAAAGCCGGCTACTACGCAGTAGCATTTGACATGCGGGGCTTCGGCCGCACCCACAACGCGGATCTCAGCCCGATAAGCGAAAACTCGATTCGACCACTGACCACAGTGCGGGACGTTGTTACGCTGGTCCACGCGCTCGGGTATGAGTGTATTCACACCCTGGTGGGGCACGATATCGGGGCCTTTGTGGCTTCGCTCTGCACCATTGTGCGAGGAGACTTGGTCAAAGCCCTTGTTATGATGTCGCATCCATTCAAGGGTTCCCCTCAAGTACCCTTTGGGACAGCGGTCTCTCCACCGCTGGCTTCTGCTATTTTACACCAGGCTAGAGACGGTAAGAGGGAGGAAGTCAAGGCCGACCCCGATATCCAGGCGTCTCTTTTGAAGCTTGATCCACCCCGGAAGCATTACAAGTATTACAACGCGTCTCTCGAAGCAGCCGACGAATGGACCCATCCGACCGGCGAACCGATGCACCGGTTTCTCAGAGGTTACTTCCACCTCAAGTCGGCGGACTACAGCTTGAATAACCCACGACCTCTTAAAGCGTGGACTGCAGGGGAACTCGCCGTCATGCCGCACTACTACGTTATGAGAGCTGACCTGTCGATGCGCGGAAACGTCGAGTTGGACATGTCCGGCGAACCAGCCACAATCCGCGACAAGCTTGGCGATACATCGTGGCTCACCGATGCGGACCTCCAGGTTTACACAGACGAGTTCTCGCGCAACACCTTTACACTCGCTTTGATGTGGTACAAAGTACTTGTGAACCCGGCCTTGTCCGCGGATCTTCTGTGTTTCGCGGGAACAAAGCTTGGTGTCCCGACAAAATACGTCTCCGGAACAAGCGACTGGGGCACGTATCAGGTTCCTGGCTCTCTTGATGCCATGGAGAAAGGTGAGAGCGTTCGGGCTGATTGCTGGAAGGGAGCTGTCCACATTCCTGGAGCCGGGCATTGGGTCAATATGGAGAAGCCTGAGGAAAGTGTGAAAGAGATTCTGGAACTGGCGGGGTCTGTTTAGGTTCAATGTACAGAAGCGTTTGGAGGTGAGAATTGTTTGTATGACCGAAACTAACCCTTTGTTTGCATCGAAACACGTCTATTGAGCCACAAGCTCTGAGGCAGTCGAAGTTTAGTCATGCGGACGAACGATCGGTTTGTTAAAAGCCTTTTGTGTTCTTATGGCCAGCTCAAGGAAATAAAGCACCTGTCTGTTTCTGAGTTTCTGCATCGAATGCGATATCAAAGCCGTGCGGACACATCATGTGATTACAAGACTCGTAAATTAGGGAGGTAATGGTCTTAGTACTTTGATAGTTTCCCTTGGCTTTGCTCTCATGTTTTGCAATTCTGTTTGAGGCAGCTTTTGTATCCAACGTCGTGCGGGTCTGATAGCCTCGCCTCAAGACTTGCGCAACTTCTCTCCGTTCCAGGCCTTGGTGGTTTGCCTAAGATAGCTCCCCTTGGAACATTTGATCTTGTGAGTGCGGTTCAGGTGCAGTGGTAGCGTGATTCACTCATCTTGTATAGAACACTACTCACATCTGCAAGCTGATATTGTCCGCCTGAGCATGCCTTTGAAGTTCGAGATAAACTCTCATGTAGGCTCTAGACCTAGGTCTTTTACACGGATTGGCTCGCGGTGGGGCTTAGGAAGAGTCAACCATGGAATTCCAAACTTTCTTCGTCGCCATCATCAGCATCATCGTTGGCGTTCGATGGAATCCAAGATCCCTAATGATTTTCCACCGCACAACCACTCGTCGGTTCATGAACTCAAGAACGATGTAATGTGATATAGCATTGGGACTTGGTAGATGCATCATTTCGCGTCAGCAACAACGAGCGCTGAGGAGGTCTCCTTCAAATCGTCTCACTCAGCTCATTCTCAGTTCACCTATTTTCCATCTCAAGGCAGCATTTCAGAAACAGGAGGCAAGACTGGATGGCACTGGGAGGCAGTGCTCCATTTAAGCTGTCGTGCCTTCCAGAGCGAACATGCCTTTTTTGTATTTTCTGCAGCTTTCTCCGTTGATCTACTTTTCTACTTTTTCCTCTTCCTACGACATCACTTTTGCTTGTTTCTTCCTTCGCCCATCTCTCTTCGTCTTAATACTATCTGCCCAGTCTCGACTTTTTCCATCATCACTCGCTTTCCGGACCATTCCTCTCGGCTGTGCCGATTCCATTTCTTCTTACGTTAACAATAACACGCCTTCTGATCGTCTCATTCGGCCCCCGACGATTGCTCTCAATCCATACCTTTTTCGCGTCGCCCGTCTGAGGACGACAAACCCGAAGGAAGCAGCCACAACGCCAATAACATTTACACACTTAGATCGTCGATTGCCACCATCCGACCCCGTCACATAAAGAGGCTTTGCTATGTGCCAAGCTGAGAAGTGGTGGTGCATTGGATGCAGGAATATTCGCTCAGGATTCCAAAAGTGCCCAAAGTTCGATCCTGTTGCCGAGTTCTGCGAAGACACCAATCTCGAAGATCCACCCTTGAAGCCCGTCTTCGAACATTGTAACAACCTCGAATGCAAATATCTCGATCCCTCATTGGCATGGCATCCGAACCAACCTTTGTCTCCTGACTCACTAGCCTTTGCGGAGTGGCTGAAGGGAGTCAGCGAGAAGATGGACAGTCCGCCTGTCACGGCGCTGGACGCCGCGGGTGCTAAACCGAAGGCCGTGTCTCTTCAACCGAAGGGCGGCGTAGACATGGTTTCCGCCGGTGGCAGGCTTGAAATTCAGGGCTCCAAACCCATCTCCGGTAATAGTCCTGGTAAGGTGGACATCATGTCAGTGCATTTTCCACAGATGCTAAAGACTTCCTTAGTTGGACTCCAGCCCCAGATGAACACTCCAAGCGAGCATACTGTTGCTGAGAGCGGAAGCCAAATCAACCATGATAAACTCAGCAGTTCCAAAAGGAGTTCGAATGAACAGATGGGAATCCAGTTGCAGAAGATTAATGCTCAAACTTCGCAAACAACTAATGCTAATGGTAAGTGGTTCATGTTTCTCCCGTCTCCAAGAAATAGTACTGACAAAGCATCAAAACAGTTTCACAACCCGCCACAGCCAGTCGACCACCGTCCATGGCTCCCCGTTTTGTTGCCTCAAGCCTCTCTCTGGCGACCTCGCCTCAGCCTTTCTCAAGCCCCTCGAAAGCCACCAACACTGTGACTAAAGTCGAACCTCTGAAAGTGCCAGAAGGCTCAAATCCGTCGCATCCTCGTCTTGCAGACAAGCCAACTTCCAGTCATGGTCAGAGACCTTATGGCTTCAGTCAGCCACTCGGCCAAAGCTCCACTACACAGCTAGGAAGCTTGGTGACACCAAACTCGATGCTCCAAAGAGGAGGCGCACCATACTCCGGATCCATGAACGTCAGGCTGCAAACGTCGACTGCAACGACTCCAGGACGCGGTCAACATGGAGGAACTGCGCCAGTTGCACATATGCAGACCCCAAATCAATCCGGCAGACTTCAACGCGCCATGCATCCTGGGCACCGGGCGGTCATGGACAAGCTCATGAACCGCAACGCAGGGCTGTCATCACGGAGCGGCCACAATCCTTCGGTCCCACACTGGCAAATGGCCCTCCCCAACTCCCAGGGCCAGGGACACACTGTCACGCTACCGCAACACCGACGAATCTTAGCTACAAAGATACAAAACGACGGATCAAGCGTCACGGTTGGGGTGCCGTTTAGAGAAGCCGCTTATACGCAAAACTTTGAAAACGAAGTGCGTCAGTTACATGCCCAGCATTACAGACCAACGTATCACTCAAGCCTCATCGCTGTTGGGCCAATGAATAACGGGATGTTAATGGGTCACCACCCGAACAACACTCAGGACAGAAACTCGCAGCAGGGCTACATCGCCAGCACTGGAAACTTCCAGGGTGGCTTCGTCGACCAATGCGACATCAACGGACAGCAGCATGTCGTCAGATCGAATGGAACCGGCACATACAATGGTTACGTACAGCAATTGTCTCCTGCCTTGTCAGGTTCCCGCTTCACTTCTTGGACCCAGACGAACCCTCAGTTCCCGTCGTTTGGCCAGGGCCACCCGCACTACCAGACCGCAATTCCGTCGTTTCCAACACCAGGCTTGCCCCAACCTAGTCTCGATGACCCCAAGAGATCATACTCCATGGTTTTCAGTGACGGTGTTTTCTGGGGGCGTCGTCCATCCTCTTTCTTGCAATCACCGATAAGTCAACAAAGCAACTATTCGCCGGTGACATATCAGGCAGGCTTGGACGGTCAGATCATGAAAGAAGAACGCTCAGCCAAGCGTACCAGAGTACATGAGGGAACACTCGGAACACCGCAGCACACCTCATACAACTCGATCAATTCTACCAATGTTCAGGATACGGTGGGTGTCGAGAAGAACAGAGTTACCACGCCATCTCTTGTCCGAGCTGTTATTAATGAAGCGACACCCGTTGTTCCCGATGAGATGCCTCCAGCTCACAAGGACACGGCACAAGCCTTCATTGCCAATCAGACCCTGCTCCAAACACCGGCTGCTCAGCACCGCTCGGCCCAGCAGACTAGCTTGGGGGTTCCCGAAACCTCTCAAGCCGTTGTAAGCAACGGTTTCAGCAACGTCGACAGTCCGCCCGCAGTCAATCCACAGTCGGGTTACGATTACGCACTCTTTGGTGACTGGGAAGTACCGCCTGGTGAAGACTGGGGCTCTTTTGAGTCTCTATTGCAGGACGATGGACCCTCCGATCAGGATTTGGCGTAGATGACCAAATACGCGAGGGCTCTTTTGTGCTGAGATAAAAACGGGTTTTTACATACGACGTACGCCGCCCATCATATACCCTCGCTGACAACAACACGACTTTGATGGCCTATTCCGCTTGACTTCGCTGTATTGCGTCGTCCGTTGATTGTTTATGACACTGTGATGGTTCGACGAACCCCCATGCAGCCAGCGAGGGATATGGTCGACAAGAGATACGGAGGACAGATGGAAGGGAGCGCTCCGCTTTCCAAATGGCGTGACTTGCATTTTTCAGATGGGTTCCCATACTGGTGATCGAGCCGAAGCCGGGTCCAATATGGGCGAGGACGTTCGTGACCTCTGCGCTACTGAACTGCCACACATGCTCGAGGAGTTTTGTATTGCTATAGTAGATAGAAGCCATCCAAGACTTATTTTCCCGCAAATCTCGTCTGCTTTGTGATGTTGACGGACTGGTACGGTGGCACCATAGAACAAGGACATCCCCACCGTCGCCACGGATCACTTGAGCCAACCTCACAGGAAACATGCTCCCGGTACCAAATCCTCAATAACCTTGTTCTAGAGGGATAGAATCATGGGCTTCTGCGTCAATGACAAGCTGGCACGTTCTTTGTGGATGAAAGCCCGATGCTTCAAAACATGAGCGTTGGGATAGGAAACAATCAGGGCACCCCGTTTCAGGCGGAGGGAGGCAGAGCCAAGAAACAGTACGAAGAGGTCACCACTGCATCGGAGAAGTCTCACTCATGTCAATATCACATATGATGAGGGAACAGTAGGTGCATTACAGGGAGTTTTGTCCCAACATTGAACTCTATCATAACACACTTGCAGAAGAATGCTCGTACATAGTCATAATCATCCCAGAAAAAACATCTAAAACCCAATTATACCCGTATACCCCTGTTATTACGCCGACCAATTCTCTCCATATGTCTAATCGCGCAGGTACTTGAGGATCTGGTCACGCTCCTCAGGCGGCATGGTGCGGATGACGTCGCGAACACCACGCATGGCAGCGCTCTGGTTGGCTCTCAGGACTGAGCTCAGCTCAGTAGCCAGGTTGTCGGCCTTGACGCCCTCAATTCGGTCGGTGATTGACTTGCGGTTGGACTCGTACCACTCAGAAACCTCGCGGTCAGCAGTAGCAAAGTTGACCACGCCGGACCAGCTCTCGAGGAACTGGAGGTTGCGCTTGCGGGCCTCAGGCGCCTTGGTGGGGTCGGAACCAGCGGTGTGAGTGAGGACGGTGGAGGCCATGCGGCGGAGGAGGTACTCCTCGTTGAGACGACGGCGCAGACGCCAGTAGAAGAAGCGACGAGAGTTGGTCCACTCGAGTTGGTCGCGAATGACACCCTTGGCCTTCATGCGGCCGGAGCGATCATGAAGGTCGGCGAACTGGAGGGCGATCTGGGAGTAGACAGGCAGAAGCTGCTTCTCGCGAATAGTCATCTTCTTCTTGAGCTCGTCGGCCTGCTCCTTGGGCAGATCGGTGGCCATCTGCTTCTTAAGAGAGGCGTAGACAGGGTCCAGGCGAGCCATGGTCTCAAGCTGCTTGTCCTTACGGTACTTGATACCAACAATACCCTCAGGCTCGAGGACACCACCGCGGGCATCGACATCGGCATACATCTCCATGGCCTCCGGGTTGATGGTGGGGTCGACGACGACCCAAGAGCCACCACGAAGCTCGCCGAAGGGAGGAATGTAGACGAAGATGGGCTGCTCGAACTTGACGAGGGCGTCGACGATGTAGGAACCGTACTTCAAGACCTCGTTGTACATGTCGCGCTGACCACCAGAGAAACCTCTCCAGTTGGCGAGGATCATGAGAGGCAGCTGCTCACCATTGTTGAAGTCGTTGATGGCCTGGGCAGTCTTGAAGGCGGAGTTGGGGTACCACACACCACCAGCCTCGTTGGTAACCTGCTCAATGGAATCAGGGTTGGCGGGGTCGGCAGGGGTGATGTTCTCGACAGATCGGGTCTCGACAGCGATGACACCCATGGGGATGCCACCAAGGCGAGCACGACCAACAACGACGGTGCGAGCCCAGCCGCCAAGGGTCTCAACGAAGGAGTCCTTGTCGAAGAGACCGGGCTCGAAGCCACCCTCCTCAGTGGGGCGACCGCCAATCATCCATCGGACGTCGTAAGGCTGCTTCTGGGGAGGAGTGTAGACAACGTCACGGTCCCAGACGTCAGTGCTAGGGCTCACAGGGATGGGGCTGCCACGCTTCTCGGGGATGAAGGACATCCACTCGACAATCTTGGAGACACCGTCGAAGTCATCGTTACCAGTCATGTGCGAGACACCGTTGCGGTACATGATCTGGGTACCACCAAGCTGCAGGTTGGAGGTGTAGATCTCACGGCCGAGAACGTTGTTCAGGGCAGGGGCACCAGTAAGGATAATGGGCTGGCCCTCAATCTGGACGGCACGCTGGCCGAGACGGACGAGGTAAGCACCAATACCGACGGAACGGCAAGTCACCAGGGTGATGGTGAAAATGTCATTGTAGGCCTTGCTGGTGGCACCGGCGATAAGACCAGAGCCCCTCAAGCATTCAACACCAAGACCGTCCTCAGAACCAACAATGGTGACGATCTTGTGACGCTTCTCACCGTCCTCAGAAACGACTTCGGTGATGACATCCTTGGCGAAGCGCTTCTGAGCCTCATCGTCGAGGTAGAGATACTTGAAGCCGTTGTCCTGCTTGTTGCCGTCGTTCCACGCAACCTTGAAATGGGGCATGAGCTCGTTGGCGACACCAAGACGAGCACCAGAGTTGGCGGACAGGTAGATGCGGGGAATGCCAAGCTTGCGGGCAAGCTCAGTGCACTTGAAAAAGTAGTTGTCTTCCTTGGGACCAAAGCTACCGATCATGTAGGTAATGTCATTGGCAACGACGATGAACTTACGGCCCTTAGGATACTCGGGAGTCTTGGCGTGGAAGATCCAACCAACCATGCCGCAGGTATTGGTACCGGGCTCACGGTTGACCTCCTGAAGGTTGTCCTTGTCGTCCAAGACGAGCTCAGTGTACGTGACGCACTCACCAGACTTGGGCTGCTGACCTCCAATGGCACCGTGCTTCTTGACCGACTGGGTCCAGCTGTTCTGGATGGCCTGACGGAAGAGCTCGGGGAAGTCGTACACGTACTGCGTACCCATCAAGTGAGCCTTGTAACGCTTGGGCTGCAGAGGGTTCTTCGTGGGGTAAGGAGTCGAGACGGGCAGCAAGTGCATGGGACCCTTCTCCTTGGTGCCACCGATGCTGTTGAAGACCCACTCGCCCTTCTCAGACTTGCGCTCAGCGTAGATGTCAACATCAACAACGTATCCAGACGTGTTGGTGATGATGACACGCAGAGGGTAGGGGACGCCGGTCTGGGGGTCAGTGCAGATAATGCGGATCTCAACCTGGGCAACACGCAGGCGCCAAGCACGGGCGCCAAAGCGGTCGAGGAAGCCCTGGAGACTGCTCTCAACCTCCTGGGGGTGCAACTGGAACACGGGGGTGAAATTGATGAAGACCTGGTTCAAGTCGGAGTTGTTGTTGCCAATAATCTCAAGGGCGTCGAAAATGTCGTTGATGACGCGATCAGCCTCAGAGATCAGGTACTCAGCGGTAGGGATCTCGTCACGGAGACGGCCAGGACGGATGACTGCGCGGGTGAAGTAGCGCTTGTCGCCGTCGACAGCCTTGCCAATACCCTCGTAGACGTGGATGTTCTTGTTCTCCGTGAAAACGGGCTTGATGTGGAACTTGGCCAGCCTGCCGAGCTCAAGCTGGAAGGCAAGAGCGGGCTCAATGTGACGAATACTGTCGTCCTCAACGTACTCGGGGCCACGGAAGGTGTAGTAGCCGGGGTAGGCACCATCGTTGCGACCACAGATGAAGGTAATGCGGCGGACGTTGCGGTTCAAGAGCTCCTCCTTGAACTGCTCGATGATAGGAACGATGCGAGAAAGGATCTCCTGGTCACTCTTGCTCTCAGCGTCGCGGACGGCGACGTTGATAACTGCAGAGAGCTCCTCGGAGTCAACCTTGGTCGCAACGGGCTTGCGCTTGCCGCTCAAATCGGGAATGAGACCAGGGGTGCTGCGCTTTCTCGCCTTGTCAGAGACAGCGAGAGTCTCGAGAGCCTTGCCAAGTAAGTCCTCAGCATCGTCGAGGTACTTGACAGGAACGATGACACCCTTGCGGTTGGGCTCGGAATCCCACTTGTGGTTGAGGTAAGACATATCGCTGATGGAGTGGATGCGCTTGAAGTCGAATGAGCCGCCGCTGCCGCTGGGAGTAGCGGGAGAAGAAGGCGCCGCGGACTGCAGAGGCAGTCCGTACTCACTCTGACCAATCTTGCGCAGAGCAAAGTCCCAAGTGCAAAAGAGAGGCGTGTCGGTCTCGTCGGAGTGGTACTCAATCTGCTTGAGAATGTACGCACGGTAGGCACGACGAACGTAGACCTCGAGAGCAGCCAGAGAAACATAGGGGTCCTCGTGGGCAAAGAAGAGCGTCAGGACGTCGAAGACGGTGTACTTGGAGTCAACGACCTCCTTGATGACGTCCAAGCTAGGCTCACGGTGGTCCCAGGAAGCCTCACCGTAGCGGGACTCCACGACGGAAGTGCGGAGGATGTGCTCCATCTGGGCAGTGCGCTCCTCCAGGGAAGGCAGAGAGCACTGGATCATGATCTCACGGGCCTTGAGGGAGACCTTGGAGGTGGTTCGGGAGGACTGGAGCTCAGTCAACTCCTGCAGAGCAGGGCGGAGGAACTTGGCGACGTTTCCAACATTGGGCTTGTTGGGGCGGTACTCCTCGAGGATGGCAAGGATGAGCGAGCTCTTGGCGCCGACACGGCTGTGAGACAGAACAGTCTGGACGACCTTGCGGATGTCGTCCTTGTTCTGATCACGCAGCTTGAGAATGACGCTGTCCTCCTGGGTTCCATAGCCGGTGAAGAGGCGCTCAATGTCGATGTACGAGGCCA